CCTCTGCACTCGGCTCTTCAGCAGGTGGGGCGCTTGCTTCCGCGGCCGGTGTGGTCTCATCACCACCTACAGCGTCTGTGATAGCTTCGAAATCACTCACTGCAATAGATGCGTCGTCCACAGCTTCAGTGGCTGCATCGGCAGCGCTCTCGGCCTCTTCCGCGGCTTCCTGTACGTCTTCCGCGGCCTCACTGGCATCTTCGGCTGCCTCACTCGCTTCTTCCAGGGCTTCAGTCGCTGCGACAGCAGCGCTCTCTTCCTTTTCGGCGACTTCGGTGGCTTCGGCTATTGCCTCAGCCAAATCCTCGCTAGCTTCCTGCACGTCGTCAGCGGCTTCGCTGGCATCTTCAGTGGCTGCATTGGCAGCGCTCTCGGCCTCTTCCGCGGCTTCGGTGGCTTCAGCTGTTGCCTCAGCCAATTCCTCGCCGACTTCCTGTACGTCTTCTGCGGCCTCACTGGCATCTTCGGCTGCCTCACTCGCATCTTCCAGGGCTTCAGTGGCTGCAGCAGTCGCTTCATCGGCTTCGATCGAAGCTTCTTCTACAATATCACGTATACCATCATCATCCTCGTCTGCGCTCGCGGCCTCGCTTTCGGCAGGTGCGCTGGCATTATCGCTTTCTACAGGTGCGCTGGACTCGGATATGGCCTCGGATTCAGCTGGCATACTCGCCTCGGGGCTCTCAGACGCCTCCGGTTCTGTACTGCCGTCTTCCCCAGTTGAGAATAATGGCTGGGGGGGTTTTGCTAGGAATACGCTGGCAGGTTCTGAACGATTCAACGTGGAAGTGTCAGCAATTTGTTGGACATACTCCGATCAATGACGATAAGCGGTTAATTCTCTAGCGAATCATATAGGTTCAGACAGCACGACAGTGCACTATTATTTCGATCCAAGAGGAGTATACAACTTGTTACGATACTAATTTTTGCTAGCAGTACAATAAAGAAATCCGGATATATATATATATATATATAGAGGAAATTTATTTTCGCTAACAACAATATAAACGAATGACATGAACTTAACATATGCTAGCATCCTAAAAAAACCGAATAAGGCTGACATACCAGAGTTGATGACAGAGAATGTCACCGATTCTGACTCGTAATCGAGACATTCTTTCAGAAGTAGCTCGACTGAGGCAACGGAATCGCCCGAACAATCCTCGGTAATGAACTCGTATTTAGTCAGGGTGTTTTCATAGATATCATAGTAATACAGAGCATAATCATTCTGAGCTGTGGGATCATCCACCACCGCGGCATCGCCATCTGTCAAACCGGACGCACCATTGAAGGCACGTCCATCATCCTTTATACACTCATTCAAAACACGTGTGAACTGTCTTCTGGCAGCACCTGCACATTCTTCTCCTGTAAAAGTACTCAATAAAACTTGTCCATCGGGTCCTTTGTATTCCGGCAGAATAACATTGACATCCGCTGGGGATTCACTAGCCTCTGCATCCTCAATGCTGCAATCATAGTCTTGAGCATTGCACTCCTCTGCGTTTTCTGGCTTAGCACACCACTGAAAGGACGTAAAACAGTATTATATGATGTTACATTAATGACAAAATTTACTAGCCTGCCTTAAGTAAAGCGATCTATGTCAACTTTAAATTTTTTTGACACAAATCTACGACCTGGTATATTGATCAAGTTCGGGTTTAGGTGACGCCACAAGTAGCGGTAGGAAGTCTCTCACACACGGGCTAGATTAAAACTTGAAATTATTTGTCCTACAGCATACCGTATCTACACATATCAAGAGAGCATTTACGTACGCAGCTAATACATGGGTCGGTAATTTCGAGTTTAATATCTAGAAAATGACATTACAAGTAGCGATAAGTAATCTCAATCACACTGGCTATGATGACATTAATCATCATACAACGTACTGTATAAAAAGAATAATAGAAAGGGCACTTACGTATGCAGGCCCTTGTGTGCAGGGATCGGATCCAACAGCTTCTTGCCTTCTACCTAATGGACGAGCGTATACTGTCAAAGACACGGCGCTAGCAACCGCTAGATATCCAGCTACACGCATTTTGCTGCTTTGTATTGGTCTTGTGTCGAGGTTTGCATACAGTGAACAATGTGTACACGGTAAGCATATGATATGTAGACGTGAATTGACCTGCTTATATGAATATGAAAACAACATGAATCCACATCTGTTATCCCGCTTGATTCAAAATCACAATCAATGTTCACATAATTAATTAAAATGTAGTTAATTATTTAGTTATTTCGTTAATAACACATTTTTTTAAGTTTTGTGCTAAAATTCCACCACGTACCAACCTCTCAACAAACCACATGACTAATAATTTTGGATATAGATCATGCGTGCACAGTTATGGCCAGTGACTGAGCACCTCCTCCGAATCGCGACTGTCTTGTCTGTGTCAAGTGTACACCCTCTACTACTAGCTAACTAGTATTTTTAGTGGGGAGACGTGTGCGGGTCAGTTCAACAGTAATTGTTTTTATTTAGGTGATTCAATTTACCGGTTATATTTTATAATAAGTATTGATTGGTGGAAACGAAACCTATTTCTCCTTAATTTGGTATACGTTACTCTATTGTTTTGCCAGGGGTATGTGATAAAATTGAATCATAAAAATATACGTCAAAGCCGATTGCTCCAGCTGTCCAAAATCCACATAAATAGTTAATAAATACAGAATTGACAATTTTATAAAAAACATATTTCGACTTTGTGTGAACTGATATGTCATACATATTTATTATTATTTAGCCGACTAGCCGTACGGCGGACAAACATACGTAGGCCTTTTTAAAAAACAAAACAAAAAAACACAGTCCCAGACTCACAGTCGACTGAAAATTGGAAATTGAACTCAACCTTTTTTTCTTTTTTATAAAATTAATATATATATATATATAAACATAAACTACAAAAAAAATTAAAAATGGCTACATGACCATCTAGAGAAAAAGCAGAAATTATGGGAGAACGGACAAGAAAATAAGGACAAGGCTATGAATTCAAGAATTGAAGCCTGAAGGCAGAAGGTGCTTATACTTTTTTTCTGACGTACTTTGGCCTTCGGGAATCGGACGTCACACACGTCAGGCCGTCCATATTTAATTTTATTCTTTCGAATTTCTCTCGATGAACGATTGATCTCATGATCTGACAAATGTACCAAGCAAAAGAGTCAGGTTCAGTCGGCCTGCCCTTCGGAAGCTGTAGTAGTTCGGCCTATCTTATTTCTATTCTCTCTCTCGCTCACAGAGAAGAGGGTTATGATTTTATATTGTTCTCTTCTCGGGTCAAGACACATGTTTGTACTAAATATTTGTTTTGTCAATGAAATCCTGATACAAACTGGATGCAAAGATTAATGTAAAGAGTATACGACATAAAAGAGTATACGGCAAGTTGTAATTGAAAGAAGTTTTGGATGTAACCTTCATACCCCTGTGTGATATAAAAACATTTACACACACGTAGCCATTGTACCTGGTTGTAGACAAGAACCGTACAGCTTTCATTTTCAAGAACAAAGATCCGCCTATACATATCCGCTGTTTGTATGGGTATGAAAATCAAATAATCTTAGTATATTTCTGCGTGGATCGTAAGAGTATGTATCAATTCTATAGTTACTAACGTTCGTGCATGAAGAAACCTCCTGTTTATAATTTGCCGGTTTCGTATTATGATTTTCAAGAACAAAGATCCGCCTATACATATCCGCTGTTTGTATGCGTATGAAAATCAAACAATCTTAGTATATTTCTGCGTGGATAGTAGGAGTATCAATTTTATGGTTACAAACGTTCGTGATGAAGAAACCTCGTGTTTATAACTTGCCGGTTTCGTATTATGATTAATTTAAATAGTATTGTTGGTCTATATAAATGAATATCAATGGGGCCAAAGCATTTCTGGCGGCTTGACACAGCTGTAAAATAGCAGTTCAGCTTCATTACTACTTACATGTAGACTGTTTACAATACTTATTTGCACTATATTGATTAAAAAAAACCCCGAATGTGAAGTAGGGGAAGAAACAGTTGCATACCTACAACTTATCGCTTCGATCCTTTTTTTCGTCGTATATACAATAGTTGAAAATATTGTATTTGCGAAAGCCATCATAAATTACATGTACAGTTTTACCTCTACTTCTGTGGAAAACTTGCGTTCAATGAAGATATGATACATAAAACACTATCAAGTCGCACAAAAAAGTGTTCTTTGCCGAGATCAATTTAAATTTTATTCTACTGTGTTAGTCAGAAGAAAGGTAGGAACCGAATTTTACTACCAAGCTTAAGATAAGGCATACAGAAGAGGTGTAGTCAATGCGACAAAGCTTTCGCATATTACGCCAGATTTGTGACATCTCCTGAAGTTTGAAATCGGGTGTCTGCCTTCGTAGTCACTGTCATCACAAGTCTGTGGGCCCCTTAATATATATATGTAGGTACTATACGACTGACTGACACTTTACCCGTCCCCCAAGGTTGTATCTTGAAAATCCTTCCTGGCCTATGTAGAAGACATGCTGCTTATCGAGGATGGGCGTGGTGCTGACATGAATAAAATTTTGTCACTCGTGTACATCATGATAAACGATGATTTAACTACCTCTGTACGTGGAGTAACCGAATGGGCTGATCAGCAGTGGCACGTGGTAGTGCGAGTCCAGTTCTTCAATTTCGAATACGACCTGTTAGAAAGGAGAGCAGAACATACGGTTCAATAGAGGTGAGACTTGTGCAGGGGTCACACTATAAGCAGAACGTTTTAACACGCATTTGATGAGTACCAATAGAGCGTTCAAACCATATAGCGCATATGAACGATGGCGTATCCGACTCGCGATAATTATTCAATGCCGCACTCATATCTATATGATCTTATGAATGTCGAGGAAACATATGGCGAATACTAGAAGCACGTGGAAATACGTACTAGATTGTTGAATAACAGCGAAAAGAGGGCCGTTGTGTTGATATAACTCGTTATTATTCTCTGAGAAATCATTACAAGAAAAACGAAATGCCGGCCATTGAATATAAACAAAAGGAATTCCGATTTTGTACCTGGACATAAGGGTAGAATGCCTTTGTGTTGGACTTTTCAAAGTAAACCTTCGTGTCGAATGTGATGCGGTATATAGAACTGGACAACTTGAAGTCGGCTGGGAACAAATCCGGACATCGTCCATCAGAATTCGTTTTACTATCAAAAACAAAAACAACCCAGGTATTAGATCGACGATTTACAGTTTATTTATTTCATTACAGAGAATAGACAAGTAAATGTCAGATATGAAATTCAATGCTTGTGTAACTTTACTAACCAAAATAATAGCGATCAATATCAAACACAATACTGGGATGCAAAATTATATATATATATATATATGTATATATAGAATAACAATAATGGTAACTATTATAATATTATCATGCAATAATAGCAATAAGAATGATAGCAAACATAAACACACACACACACACGTGCACACACACACACACACACACGCACACACACACATATATATATATATATACCACGAACATGCCTTAATTGGTGTCTTTGGTTATTGACTGCGCATGTTCATATTGCTGTCAAAATTACTGTGAACAGAGCAGCTTCGAAAGCGGGCTACACGCCAATTTAACAAGGATATTGTTAGTTTTGCATACCCTTGTCCGACAGTAGTCCATTGTCCGGGAGATACTTCTTTCTCAACCTTGATTGGTAGGCTGGCCGCTGGAAGTCCTAAACAACGGAGACGACAAAGAAATTGATGAGAGGTACGTTAAGCACAACACGCGATCCAATATATATATATATATATAAATGATTAAGTATATATATATAAATATATATATATAAATGATTAAGTATATATATATAAATATATATATATAAATGATTAAGTATATATATATAAATATATATATATTTATATATAAATGATTGAATATATAT